GACTGTGTGACTGCACCCTCTGCACCCCGAGTGAGGCTCCTGGGCCAGCAAAGTGCACCCAGACCAAGTGCCAAACCTGCACCATGGGGCTCCTGGGCCACATCTTATAACCCACTGCACAACAACAACACACAGGGCAGCAAACAGCCCAGTTCTCACTGCTGAATATTTAAACAAACATCAGCTGCTGTTCCTGCTCCAGATCTATCCACAACACTAATTCTTTGTGGGTCTGTAGCACAGGCATGCCTGAGAGTATCCAAAGTTTTCAGATTACATTCACATTTCTGATGCAACTCACAGGGACAGAATCACAGAATGGTTTGGGTTGGAAGGGACCTTCAAGATCACCCAGTTTCAATCCCCCTGCCAGGGAAAACTAAGCATGCACTGGATCCCAAGAACAGTGAAATCAGGAGTACCTGGCATGGAATTGCTGCCCCCCATTCCTGCTGGACGATGTTGCAAACCCCCAGCAGTGCTGACTCCAGGCAGGTTTTGTCATAATCATCCATGTTACTCAGGGCTTCCTGCAAAGACAAACACCACTGTCGTTCCTAGGAGGGGAATATTCCTCCCAGCAGGCACACCCCAGTCATTCCTGGCTCTTGGTGAGTCAGGATGTCTGCTCTGCATGGTCCCACAACTGCAGTGTGACACAAAGGGAAAGAAAGGAAGGTGTAAAGAAGTGATGAATGAAACCACGAGACAGTGACAGCTCACTCTGAAAGAATTGTAATATTACAAACACAGCTCTTCAAGACAAAAAAAATCCTTTGCATGTCTCAAAGAAACAGAAAAGTCAAAATCTGAGGCAAAGTCTAACAAGGAACTTTTAGCTGAGAAAATCCTCGCAGGTGTCAGAGCAGCTACAACCTCTCACAGGTTCAGAGAGGGGAGCAGGAGGAGTTTGTCTCACAAAAACTCTGTGGCAGAGAGAGTAACAAACCCCCAAACTCCCACCTGCACCCACAAACCAGCTCTTCTTCTTGAAGTGAAAGCCTCACACTTAACACAGGGTGCAGCTGTGAGGTGAACCCTGGCTGGGTTCTTGGCTTTCAGAATTCCTCAAATGAACTCTCAGGGAGGTGAAAAAACATCAGAGAGGATGCCCTGGCACAACAACACTGCTCTAAATCTGCTAAACTGCAAGCAGAACAGAGAATCTCTGTCAAAATCTGTTTGTCCCACAAGGGACAATCCTAAACCATGGTGGCCCTGTGACAGCAATGTGTCATTTCCCCCTGATATTGGATAACAAGACAAATATGTACAATTTTTACTGCATTCAGAGGCTTTCAGTGCCTTACTGCAGGTTTCATGGGAAACCTCACTCTTGGACTTCCCCCTTTCCACTTCCAACTTCCCATCACATCCGTGAGGCCTAAAATCACTTATTCTCGTCCTTGCCCTGCTTCAGCTGTTACACAACCCCCAAAAGCACCTTCCCCCTGCCCAAATCACCTGATTAAACCCCTTCTAAATGGTCCTGTCACCAGGGCATCACCCTGCACCAGAACCACAGGACCATCCCAGAGCCGCTCTTAGAGCTTTGGGGCAGCTCTTTCCCCTGTTTAACTCCATCCCCATTTTTAAGTTAAGTGGCCACGCTCCTGGGCTCACCCGCAGAGCAGCAAAATGTTTCAGACCCGCTGATTTCCCCTACACTTCAGCAATGACCAAACCCCCCACTCAAGACGTGGTGCACAGGACGGCACCAGAACACGCCGCTCCCCCGCGGTTCGCTGGCGAAAGGGGCTGGTTTTGGTTGGAAATGCTGAGGTTTCCCCGCTGCTGTTTTGCACCCCCCGTACCTGCAGCGTGTTGTAGTCCCTCGTGAAGGGCACCATCAGCTCCCAGAGCGACGAGAACACCACGAGGGCCGTGAACTCCAGCTTGTAGTTGGTGGCCATGTGCTCGAAGAGCATGGTGAGCCCGTGGGCCGCCAGGTGCTTGCGCTGATACTCCTCGGAGCCCTCCACGGCCACGGGCCGGGTCATGGACAGGGACACGTCCATCACCACCACCGTGGGCATGGTGAGCCGCTCCTCCCGCCGCCCCCCCGGAGAGCCGCGATCACCCGCCTGGAAGGGGGGAGAAGGCACAAACCCTTATTAAAGTTACGGAGTCACACTCAGGGGGCGGCTCCCCCTCACACCGGCCCCGGGGAGCGGCGACAATCGCTCCTGTGCCCCAGAACGCCTGGCCCAGGACGGGGCACTCGGCTCGGGCTCGGCGGGTCACACACTGAGGGAAGGCCCGCACACGGCGGCAGCCGAGCCGCGCGAAGGGGAGCAGCTCGGGGGGCCGCCCAGCAGCAGCCAGCGCTGCCCTCCGCCCCTTCCCGCTCCCGGGGCCGCTCCCGGGTCCGCTCCCGGAGATTCCCGGGATGTTCGAGGGGAGCGGACGGAGCCGCGCTGGGGGAAGGGAATCGGTGTTGCTCACCCCGGGCCCGCCTTGCCGCCATGGGTCCCGCACGGAAAGCGTCCCCCCGGAACGCGCGGCGCGGGCGGGAAGGGCCGGGCTCGGGCGGGAGGCGGTTCTGTGGGATGTGGGATTTGTGGGATTTGTGGGAATGCGGTGCCGCTCTGAAAACCGCTGTGTGCACGGACAGGGGGCTGGGGACAAGCAATCCCGGCTGGGCAGTGGGCCACCTCCTCCCGGTTGTGTTCATGCGGGAGGGAGGGTCGCAGGGAGGCAATAAAGGCCATTGCAAGGCTGGGATGCGACCCTGGAACTGCGTTTGTTTTAAAATCACCATGGAATCATGGAATCATTCAGGCTGGAAAAGACCTTCAAGATCATCGAGCCCAACCGCTCCCCCAGCACTGCCAGGGCCATCGTTATTCCATGTCCCCAAGTGCCACATCCACAGGGCTTTTAAACTTTAAGGGTTTACGGGTGTTTGACCCCCTGGAGCCGCCCTGAGGGTGATCCATGTCCATGTCCACGGCTGGAGCTCCAATCCCGTGGTTTGAAATGCAGATAATCACCTGCCCTCACGCTGGGAACAACCTGTGGCAGCAGACAAAGGTATTGGCTTCAGAGATAGATCCAAATCTATACAATACTCTGGAATCCTCTTAGGGCCTGTGGGTATTAAGTGGGATTGGCTGTCCCCTCAACCAACGTGTCCTTCTCACCTGACCCTGCCTTGCATTAGGGCTCTGCTGGCAGAGGAGACCTCCTGAAAATGGGATCATTTTCATCCGCCTCCCTCTGCGGCAGCATCTCCCACCGGGCTGGGAAGTACCAAAGGAGCTTCCAGCACTGCCCCCAGCCCTTGGAATTCCTGTTCCTCCTGGACACGTCTCTGGAAGGTAGGCTGGGGGGGTTGTTTGGTTGGTTTGGATCTTGCCTGGCTGAGGCAGGAGCTGAGAGAAGGAGTTTAGCAGGAGTTAACTGTAAGAGAGCTGCTAATCTTGACAGGACCAGAGGAACAAAGGGGCTGGTGGTCAGGAACTGTGAAAGGCTGGAGAGCTCTCAGAACTCATCCTGACTCTGGGTACCTTTCTGCTCACCAAAGGTCCTTTAAGCAGCTCAGTTTGGAGAGGAGAACTAAACCCAGTGTTTAAGTAGGAGTGTGTGCACACATCTGGGCCATTTTCTGAGCTCTCCTGTCTCTGTTAGGGAGAGTCATTTTGTAATAATGCCCAATTTGTTGTACCTATTATGCAGTTCTGCCACATGCATGTTTATGTTCCTTTTACATGTGAAAAGCAAAGCTTATATCCTCTATTTATCGAGGTACTCCCATGACCCTCTGTTACTGTTGCCTTAGTGATCCTCCCAGCTATTTAAATGAAGATAATAATGCCTGTCTTGCAAGAAATTCAGGCTGATTAATTCCCTGGGTGTTATGCAAGAGAGTGAGTGTGTGGTAACTTGCACTAAGAGCTTATCTGAGAGTGGTTTAGAAAACTATGATTCATATCCAGTTAAAGAATAATGTAACATTCCCCCTCTGGGGGGATAAAAGAATCCATGGAAAGTGATATCCCGAGGTAAAACATTGGAATATAGAACATTCCAGAGGTGCTGAAGGGTAGGTGCTGTCCAGCCCCAAATCCCTGCCTCCAGGCTGTCACAGCTGCAGGATCTGTCTCTCTGGCATCTACAATTCCTCTCCCTTCCTACATGCTGCTCAAGCAATTATGCAAGAGATGCTAATTACCCCCTAATAAAAGGTATGGTTACAATTCCACTTTGCCAGTTCTGGATTCTACAGGAATATTTTGGAAAGATGTAGTCATAGAAACAAAGGGCTGCTCAGCACCCTCAGTTTTAGTGGCACCACAGAACCACATTTTCCTCACACTGAGGGAAAAAACTCCCCCTTGCTTGGCTGCTCTCCTGGGGAGTGAAAGGCTGGGAAGTTCCCATCCTCCTGCTGAGGGTATTTTGGTGAATAACTGCTTTAGGAGGAGGTTTTGCCAGCTTGGTCTTGCCTTCAGATCATCATTTCTAGCAGTTTAAATCAGTTCCTTGACAGAAGCTGCATCCTCTCCTCCTGCAGAACTCTGACCCAGTTGTTAATAGTACAGAATAACAACTGCACTCCAGTGAATCCAGAATCATTAACAGCTCCTGGATGTGGGCATTTGGTGGAACGAGAATTCAGCTTGGATTGGACTGTCTCAGCCAACTCCTCTCTATTCAGCCAAACCTTTGATTATTAATCAGCACAACTTACTGTCATATATAAAAAAATATATACTAAAACCTGGATCTAGATCTGTCTTTACTCATTTAAGCCCATTTCTTCTTACTGAAAAATAGAAAAGTGAAGTGTTGCTGCCCAAGTGGTGGCAAGTTGCAGTACTTTATTTTTCACACCCGATTCTCTCCGGCAGGATTCTGCATCTTGTGCCGTGCAGTTCCCCTCCTGATGCTCAAGATCAGCTGGAAGCTCCGATGGTGGCTGTGAATTCGAACTGCTGACCAAGAGAAGTCTCTCCAGTGGCTGCTGGACACGGCTCTGCATCCTGAACCTTCGGGAAATGCATTGGCCACGGAGGAGGCGGCTGCGAAGGAACCGAATCCTTTTCTTCCTCGCCACGGTGTTGATCCTCTCTCTCTACCAGCTCCAGTTCAGCCCCTCTGCCCTTCCAGCGTCACACACAGCCCCCCAGCCCACGGACCCTGTCACAGTGACCTCCAGGGACCCTCCCAGCAACAAGACTGCTGGGAGAGGCAATGCCACAGCACCCAAAATAAGGCACTGTATATATGTGGATGCCGAGCCAGCCGTGCCCGTCACTACCCCAGTGGATACAACCCCCCAGCAAGAAAACACCAGTGAAAGCCACCCAGACAAAAAACCACCCCACGAGTCCAAAGGAGAATACCCCCAGGACCTGTTCAGCGTGGAAGAACGCAGGCAAGGGTGGGTTGTCCTTCACATCTTTGGCATGATGTATGTGTTTGTGGCCCTGGCCATAGTGTGCGATGAGTATTTTGTCCCCGCCCTGGGAGTGATCACAGAGAAGCTGCAGATCTCTGAAGACGTGGCTGGAGCCACCTTCATGGCAGCAGGTGGATCAGCACCAGAACTCTTCACCTCCCTCATAGGTGTCTTCATCTCCCACAGCAATGTCGGCATCGGTACCATTGTGGGCTCAGCAGTGTTTAATATCCTCTTTGTCATTGGCACCTGTGCCCTCTTCTCCAGGGAGATACTCCACCTGACATGGTGGCCCTTATTTAGAGACATCTCATTCTACATTGTAGACTTACTGATGCTCATCCTGTTTTTCCTAGACAGTGTCATTGATTGGTGGGAAAGCCTCCTTTTACTGACTGCCTATGCCACATACGTATTCACCATGAAACAGAACGTCTTCCTGGAGCAATGGGTGAAGCAGGAGCTGAACAAGAAGCTCAGTGCTGTGCAGGCAGCATCAGCAGAGCATGTGAGAAAGGTTGGTGTCCTTAGAGCTCAGAGGGCAAGTTGGAAATAGTTTGTTCTGGTGTAAACCATAAAGCAAAAATCACATCTCCTTCAGAAAGCACACATTCAAACCTCAGAACACAGGTACTGGTCAATAATTATGGTTATAAAATGAGGGAAATGCAAACTGGAGAGAGGTTCTAAGAAATCAGAGGACTTCACTACCATGCAATTTCTGAAGGTCTCAGTTGTGGTTGCTCAGCTGCTTTCAAAGGCACGTGTGGGATTTTGCTTGCCTGGTTGTTGTAAAGGAGTTTCAGAAAGAACACTTGCAGGAACACAGTCTGGGAACAAGACTGGACAACTCTGTGTTAAACAGGGGGAAAAGGCTTCTGTCCCAGCCTCTTGCAGCTGAGAGGTGTTGGAGGAAATTCTCTTTTCCCTCCCTGAAGCAGGGTGTGTTTGTGGGACGCTGCTGGTATCACTCGTTACCTGATCCGCAGCACAGGAAGGGATCTGGCAGCTTTGGCAACCACTGCCTGGTCAGCATTTGGCAACCAGATCCCAGTGCCCAAACCCAGCTCCATGCCCTGAGCCCAGCTGGGTGTGCTCAGGGGGATTCTGTGCTCAGGAGGTTTGTGGCTGTAACTCCAGATTTGAGACCTTCCCTCGGTGTCTTTTGAAGGAAGAGCTGAGTGCTCACACAAAGAGCATCTGAAGGTGTCCCCAGAGCCAACCACCCTTTCAGACTCGCAGCTCTGGCCAGGAAGGGTCTCCAGAACACTTGAGCTTTGCCTTCCTGAGCTTACCAGCCCCACTCCTTCCTCCTGTGTGCCTGCTCAGCTCTCCCACAGCCCCTTTGTCCTCCTGGCCTGTGCTACTGCAGCTGTTGAGCAGAGCCCCCTGATTTCAAACTCCTCTGGCACTGCAGGCTTTGCTGGTCAGCTGTGTGTCCCTGGCACTCACACATGCTCTGCCTTCTGGTCCTGGCACTCCCCATCATTTCAGGGAGGGGAGGAAGGGGGTGAGGGTGGTTGAAGTCGAGAAACTTCGATTCTGCTTCTCTTTCCTCCCCCTGGCCTGGTGTTCACCCAGTGCCCATGGCTGGGAGTCCTGGCAGCTCCTGTGCTGCATTCCAGTGGGGTACACCCATCACTGTGGACATCAATCACCACAAATTGAATCCAACCCTGCTCTTGGAGCTGACAGAGAACTCTCACTAATGCACAGCAGCATGACAGAGCTGCTGGACCTTATCCCTTGGGAGAAACAAATTACAGAAATTGTAAATGATGGAAAGTAATGCTAATCACTGTGAAAAAAAATATACCCCTTTGCACTTTCACTGTGCTGGAAACTGAGTAAGGATGCAGATGTTGGGATGAAGGCTGGCTCTGTCTGTATCTACAGGAATCAGTTTGGAGTCTGCCCCCAGGTACCTGCATCCTCACTGAGGAGCTGGAGGGAGAATCCTGTTTCTCTTGGAAGCCACACGGTTTTAAGGAGGCACAAGGCTTCGGCTCTTTCAGTAGCATCTCTGTTACAGTCATTTGTGTCAGCTGTCCCCCCTCCTCTCAGAGAGCAGCCCGAGGGATCTTTAGATCCTAAAAAAGCAGGTGAAGCAGCAGAGGGGATCAGTCATTTTCATTCTTTGTTGCTTGCAGAAAAGCACTGGGGCAGCGGCAGATGATGGAACAAAGAAGCCACCAGATGTGAGGAAGCTGCAGGTAGGTCTAAGCAACTTCACAGGGATCTGCAGTCACTGCATTTTTTGAACCCCTCCCCATGTCAGGTCATGAATAACGGTGTCAACTTCTGTGGCAGGAAACCTGGACAAAGCCTGTCTGGCATCAGGCACAATGCCCACACCTTGTTAAGGGGACACCTGGCTCAGTCCTGTCCTCAAAGAGGTTTTATAAAAACTAAGAGACAGCTCAGGCTTCCCCAGTGGATTTGACCAGCAGAGTGTTATTCATTCTCTGCTTTGAACGGGCACACAGAAATTCAGAGTGACTTTCCTTACCTGGTTTGTGGGTAATTTTCCTCCTGGGCTCCCAGAGCAGAGGTTGGCAGGGTCAGTCCTCCCCCACAGCACACACTGCACAGCTCATTCCTCCCCTGCTGGTTCCATTGCTGCCCCTTTGTCTGCCCCACTGATATCCAGTGGAGGAGGGAGCTGGGACTGACTGGGGTTGTGCCTTCCCACAGCCTGGGCCAGCCCTGCAGCGGGGCAGCAGCTCAGCCTCCCTGCACAACTCCCAGATGCGCGGCACCATCTTCCAGCTCATGATCCACACCCTGGACCCCCTGGCAGAAGGTGAGTGGATGCTCCACCCTGGAGGGACTTGGGTTTGCTGCCCTGGGTGCAGAGTGGTTTAGCTGGGAGCACAGGCTGTGTGTGTGTCAGTGTTCTGGGGTCAGCAACTCACCCCTGGAACGCAGCTCTGCGTGTCACGGGTGGTGTCGGGAGCTCTGTGTCCCTTCTGATCCCGTTGGATCAGGAAGGACAAACACCTCATGCTTTGGTCCTGCCATATCTGCTGGTCACTGCTGTGGGGGCAGCTGCTGCTGGGTCCCTGGAGGTGCTGACAGTCACTGCTGCCCCCCATCTGTGCTCTCTTTGACTGCAGGGGCAGCAAACAGGACTCGCATCTTCCTTCCTCTTCTTAACTCAGACCTCACCCCAGCCCTGAAACAGCAGCACAAAAAGAGGTTAAAACCCTTGAAGAATTATCATTTTGACAGTGGTTAACACCCCAGCTGAGATTTAAATCACAAAACGAGCTCCAGTTGTGATGGTTTGGCCAATTCTGTGTGGTTTAGACCGACACTGAGCACCTCTAAGAGCCCCCCTGCACTGCTGTGGTACCATCACTGCCATGGCAAAGTGTGCCCACTGCACAGTGCAGGCAATGGGCAGCTCCCCGGGGCCAGGGAAACATCAGCTCAGCTCCAAGACTCTTTTAAACTGCCCAGGGTGCACAGAAGCCTCATCTCCAGACAGAGCCAGGGGCTTTGTACCCAGCCTTTTAAAGTGCTGCTTTGTATTAAACTTTAATCCAACCCCACTGTGGAAGTTCATTTTCCAAGAAATAGTAAAGTACATTAAAAAAAAAAGACATTTTTTTGATTTTCTTCCCTGGCTCAGCTCATGCCCCACCCCTCCACTGCCCTACTTGTTCTAAAGAGATTACCTGCTGTCCATTCAAAGAGAGATGGAAGCTAAGCAGATCAACACCTCTCTCACAGAGGTTACAAAAAGGACTCTCCAGATCAAATTCCCAGCTGCACAGACTGATCAAGGGAACAAAGGAGGTTGGATGAGGACAGCGAGGCAGAGAAGTGTCTGCTTTGACAGAGTCTGGGGAAAGCACCCAAACCTGTTAGGCAGCCCAACAACCCATCACAGTTTGCCCTACTGCCCTTGCCTCCTCTGCCTCCAAGAGGTGTCAGCAGCAGCACCAGGATAAAGCTGGATAACCCTTTCCATGGAGAAATTTTTCCTGATATCCAACCTAAACCTGCCCCAGCGTGAGTTCCTGTGAGTGCAGCAGCCACTAGATGGGAGTGTGAGCACGTGTACTTCAGTCTGATATAAAGGGATGCAAGGATGGGCTACAACTCTCTCCAGAAGGTTATTTTTTAAATGAGGAATTTCTAGCAACTTTGGTCTTTCCCCCACTTTCTCTGAAATCGTGCAGAAGCAGAGCATGAGATCTTTTCAGGATTTCCCCCTTAGACACCAGAGGGAACTGTGGGGGAATGAAAAGAAGAAGGATTTTGGAAACACTCAGGAACCCTCTCATTGCTGAACCCCCAGTCTTGCCATCAGAATCTCCTTTGAAGTCCAGTCACACAGGGAAGAAGGCAGAAGCCAACTTTGGTTTTTGAATGCAGAAAAAGGCTGCAGCAGCAGAGCTGCCTGTCCTCAGTATGCCCCAGTTAACAAGCTAATGATTTTGGAAATTAGACCAGCCCAGAGCAGCAGGCAGGGTTGCAGCCCAGAGCCAAGTGAGGAAGCTGAAGGCAGCTACAGTTTCTCCTTGTTTTGTCAGCATTCCATCACTTGCAAGGGAATCAAGATACAAAGGAGCAAAAGGAATCATGAGTTTGGCATTTTCACTTCCATTTTTAGAGAGCAGAATCTCCAAATCCCTCAGGTTCATGCTAAATTGTAACGAAAAAACCCTTCCTGAAGATCGTGTTGTGAAAGCCAAAGAGTGAATTAAACCCAAGAGCCAAACTCAGGGTAAAAGCTCAGCTGCCACCTGAAGTCCAGCCTGGGTGCTGTCAATCCACAGGACAGGAATCTTCCTGGAGAGCATCTCAGGGCCCCTGGACACAGAGAGGGCTCTCAGAGCTGGGGACAGAGCTGGCAGCAGTGGCTGCCCCAGGGGACCGAGGGACCCTGCCCAGCTAACCCAGCACAGCAAGGGCTGAGCTCAGGGACATCCTCCCTGCCCCTGCTGAGCTGCAGATCTGCCCAGCTTAGAGCCAGGCTCAGTGCACACAGGAACTGTGTGTCAGAGGAATTAACCCCCTTCCAAACCACACTGATCTCCTGAAGGGTGGAGAGGGGCCTGGCCCTAATCTGTCTGTGCTGACAGAGGGATGCTGAGGGCTCCTCTCCCAGCCTGGGCCAGGGCAGGGAGCCAGGAGCTTGAATTGATATAATCTCCCTCAGGCTGAGCCTGACCTTGCTGACAGGAGCTTTTGCAGCAGCTTCAGGGAAAAGCTGAACAGAAGGATGCACTGCCCAGTGCTGGGAGGGGACTGGGAGCAGAGGGTCACCTCTGTGCTGCCCTGCACTCAGGGATGTGCTTGTGCATCAGCTCAGGGGCAAGGAAGAAGAATGCTTCCCATCCCCTGTGGTGAGCTTCAGGATTGACAAGGAGCACAGAAGAGTCAGGCTCTTGAGTCCCAGCCAACCTTATAAAGGAGAAAAAACTTCATCATTTTGATTAGATACAAGGAAGAAATTCTTCCCTGTGAGGGTGGGGAGGCCCTGGCACAGGTTGGCCAGAGAAGCTGTGGCTGCCCCATCCCTGGGAGTGTCCAAGGCCAGGTTGGACAAGCTTGGAGCATCCTGGGACAGTGGAAGGTGTCCCTGCCCATGGCAGGGGGTTGGAACAAGGTGATCTTAAGTTCCCTTCCAAGCCAAACCGTTCTGGGATTCTCTCATCATTTCATCTCAGTCCAGTGCTCATTCCAGGGCTCAGTGGAAATTCCAGTTGGTGAGAAATGTTTGTCAGACAGTAAGAGGAATCTCACCAGAATAGGACTTGTCCCCTGGGGTCTTAATGTCTGAGCTGGACCAGTTTTTGGACATACACCAGAATTTACTGACTTTTGTGAGGTTCAGCTCTGAATCTGATCTGCCCACAAGGCTCATGGCCTCAGAGCTGCTATTTTTATGATATCAGTATCACAGTGATGAATGAAGTGGCAGGGCCCTGCCCTTGAGGCAGATGACAACAGCGTGTTCTGGTTGTGTAGCACAGTGGATTAAATCAGTGTGATAAAACTCCCAGAGGAAATGAATTTACAGCCCTGCACACCAGCCAAGCACAGCATGGGCAGTTCCTTGTGGCTCCTGTCCATGGGCAAACCCTGCAACCCTCAGCTTAGCTGTGGGGTGGGCACAGAGTAGAGAAAATGGGGCTTTTCTTTGAGCCTGTTTCAGTGAGAGTCAGCACTGAGAGATCAGCACTGAGTTATGGGGACACACACACAGCTTCACAGTTCACTGTAAGCCAGCAATAAAGCAGCTCAGCTGAGCAGAGCAGAACAGGAGCCCCCAGCAATCCCAGAAATACAGCACTGGAGCTGCCCTGGTGAAGATCATCTTCCAGGCAGCCTGGACACCACGAATTTAGATCAACTCCAGCAGAGCAGACACTTGTGCATACTTAGGGAAATCAATCCTTTTCTAGGAACTAGAACATGAAAGGTTTATATTTCCCCTTACCATCAGGTCCCCAGGCTGCAAGCAGCACCCTAAAGCCTCTCCAGCAGCCACACGGCAGGAGGAAGGTGTCGGTTTTAGTTTGCACATAATCTAGCCTGAAAAAAAAAATCAATAGTCCCTTGGGAACAGGATGATACTGCACCAAAACTCCTCCCCTGTTCTTTCTGCATTTGCTTCCAATCATGTACAGATCTCCTCTGTACTACTGACCTGGAAAGGATTTCTCTTCCTTCTCAGTTCTCTTTAAAACATGCTGGTATTGTTACCCCTCAAATGGCTGGTGTAATTGCTACAGCACTAACATTTCAATGTACCAGCCATGCTCAACAGCAGCACCCACAACCTGGGGGCACAGCCACAACAATTCACAGGTGAACTGGCTGGCTGCAGCCCAGGGAGGAGGAGAGGGGCAAGAGCCTGGGTGTGTAGGGGGGAGGTAGAGGGGGCTCTGCACCCCTGACAGCTGCTGATGGACGTGTCCTTCTCATCCACAGCAAAATTTAAAGACAGGGTTGACATCCTGAGCAACATGGCCAAGAGCAAAGCCAAGGCAGAGAGCCTGGATGGACAAGGCCCACAGCCAGAAGGTGAGTGCAAGAGCTGCTGGGCTGGTCCTGCAGTGCCAGCCCTGCCTTCCCAGCACACAGCACCCCGGGGCTGGCACAGGGACACCAGGGGCTGGCACAAGCTCTGTGTTATTGCTGCCCATGGGGGGCTGCTGGAACCAGGCAGCAGAAATCAGTGGATGGGTGTGGGCAGGAACAGCCACCCCCCAGGAGCCCTCAGAGAGATGGAAACCACAGGGAGGGCTACAGGGATGGAGTGGAAGTGGCTGTGGAATGGTGGAGGAGGGAAATCAGGCCATTACAGGCAGCACTTGGGTGCTGCTGGTCTGAGGAGTTTGTTAAAACAAAGGACCTTCACTTGAGCTTGGAAATTTGCCACACTTGCAGAAGAGCATGGAAGGCTCCTCCAGAGGGAAGAAGCTGCACTGACTGTTTTTATGTCAATTCTAAGGGTCTGTGCATTCTTCCCTTGAATAGAATCACAGAATCATTTGGGTTGGAAGGGACCTTAAAGCTCATCCAGCTCCAACCCTTGCCAAGGGCAGGGACACCTTCCACCAGCCCAGGCTGCTCCAAGCCCTGTCCAACCTGGCCTTGGACACTTGCAGGGATCCAGGGGCAGCCACAGCTTCTCTGGGCAACCTGTGCCAGGGCCTGCCCACCCTCAGAGGGAAGAATTCCTTCCCATTATCCCATCTGACCCTGCCCTCTGGCAGTTCAGTAGTTTTTGGGTTTCCTCTCACTGCTGACACACAGCCCTTCTGAGCTGGCTCAGAGGGAGCTGGGCTGTGCTACAACACGGGTTTGTGCTGTCAGTGAGGATGGAGAATTTGAAAACCAAGAAAGTTTTGTGTGGAAGGTCCCAGCCTCACACAACAGGCACCTCAGCACCCCACAACACTGGGCCTCACCCGAGTGAGCCCAATTTAAGAAAAGTGCTGTCAAAAATCCAATTACAGGTGTGTGTGTTACCAGCACCACACTGACTTCACCTGTGCTCCGTGTTATCCTTTCCACACTGTTACACACCAAGGTTTCCATGTTCCTCTTGGCTACACAGGAGCAGCACAGAGGACATTGCAGTTGTTTCCTTGTACGTGTCAGCACTTTCCCATTTGCTTTTGAACCCCCACCAAATGATCAGGGATTTAAAGGCTGGCAGCACGTCCCAGTCATTTCTCAGAAGCCTTGAAGAACAGCAGCTCCCTGGAGGATGCCATGCTCCACTGGAAAAATCCAACAAAACACACACAAAAAAACACCTCAAAAAAGAAGCAAGGCTTTACATCCTTTCTGGCTTTTAAGGATGGTTTCAGTAACACCTTCAGAATCCAGAAAGCAACCAAGAAATACTCCTCAGCTGTGGGTGAGGCAATTAGCATTTCCCTGTTGTTACACATGTGTGTCTTACAGCAGTTCTGGAGAGAAGGAACACCAAGGTCTCATTTCTACTCCAGGAGGGTCAGATTCTGCCCAGATTTCCTAACCACAACCACAGCAAACCTAAGCAGTCTGACAGGGTTATTTTATCTGCCATGTCCCACATTCTGGGAGGGAGCTCAGACCCCCCAATGCTGACACAACTAAACCTTCTTCTTGCTTTTTGCAGAAGAGGAAAAGAAGGCCCCAAGCAGCATCCAGGTGACTCCTGCCCGTGACTCTGAGCCCACACAGAAGGCAGATGCACCACAGGGTGGACAGGTACTGAAATGAGGGTCACAGGCAGTAAGTGCTCCCTCCAGGCTGACCTTCACGTGTACTTCCCTTCTTCCCTCTCCAGAGCTTTTGGGACAGGATCCAACCCATGTCACTGGCAACTATAAATAGACTCTGTGTGCACTGATTTATTAATATGCTGGCTGAAACATTTTGGCTTCCAAACACAAATCAGGTCCAAAATATGACACCAACTGTTCCTGTATAGTATTTTCCACTCCTCTGAGGCCAGGGGGTACTCCAGGGCAAAGGAAGATCCCAGGATGTGCCTGCCCTGTGCTCCCCAGTTCTGCTTTGCTCCCCCACTCCCTCCTTCCAGCTGATGTAATTTGGCTGTTCTGATGAGCAAAGGATTTTAAAGGACAGTTTAAATTTGTGCCAAAGCCCCATCTAAAAGGTGGTTCTAGTTAAGAGATGCAATTTAGTTGACAATACACAGGTGCTGGGGGGTAGGATGAGCATGGATCCCATCCCACAGCAGGGAGATGGGTGCTGGGGGTGCCTGGATCCCATCCCACAGCAGGGAGATAGGTGCTGGGGGTGCCTGGATCCCATCCCACAGCAGGGAGATGGGTGCTGGGGGTGCCTGGATCCCATCCCACAGCAGGGAGATGGGGCTGGGGGTGTCCCCAGCTCTGTTACAAGTGTGAGCTCTGCCCAGGCAAGGCCAGGGTGAATAAATGCAGCTCCTTGGGAGTGTGAAAACACATTGGCTTTTTGATTTTTTATCCTGATCTACAGCCCCCATCGAGCAGTGACAGCTCAGAAGACAGCAGCTCTGAGAGTGAGGAAGACAGCGATGAGGACAGCACAGATGATGATGAAAACGATGAGCCCTTATCTCTGGAATGGCCAGAAACGAGGAGAAAACAAGCCATTTACCTTTTCCTCTTCCCCATTGTCTTTCCTCTCTGGAGCACCCTGCCTGACGTCAGGAACCCTGTAAGAATCTGTCTCCTTTCTGTTACTGGAGTCGTTCACTGAGCTATAGATTTCCTCAGGGCAGGAGTGCCCAGCTCCATTTTTCCACGTCTGGAGCCTCCTTGCACACCTGAAGTGCTGTTGCTGCTGCAGGGGGTGGGACAGGAGCCCCAGCTGCAGGGGAATGTTGTGCACAGACCTAATTTAATAAACCACAAATTGTAGCAACTGCAGGCCATCTAAGCTGAAAAACACAAACACAGATAGAAAGCAGGGTCCAAGTTAAAGCCAATCAACTGCAGTGCAGTGTTTCAGGTGAATGGTTTTCACTGGGGATTATTAACTTTCCTGAAAATTGTCTTTTTTTTTTTTTTTTTTCTTTCTTTTCAAACTCCATTTTCGACAGGACTCAAAAAAATTCTTTGTCATCACGTTTTTTGGATCCATCCTCTGGATTGCTGTGTTCTCTTACCTCATGGTGTGGTGGGCTCACCAGGTGAGGGGCTTGTGTTCTCCCTGCAAATCACCACTTCAGAACAAGTAGATGGAGGGAGGGAACAGTGTCACTTGGCATTTTATCTGATGAATTACACCTGCACTCATCCATCACAACAGTAGAAACTTTGTTTTGTTAGAACCCAAAAGGGAATTTTCTATTTCCTTTCTTTTTTGATTTGACAAAGATTCATTCTATTCCAAGAGCTTCCAAGGGAGTTTGTGCATCAGTGAAAGGCAAGTGCAATGAAAGGACAGTCAAGATTTATCTTAATTCTGACTTTTCATTGATGAATGCTTCTGTGCAGAACATAATTATCCATTACCTAATTAAAATTCTAGGAAAATAAAGGGTCTGATTCTGGAAGCTGCTAAATGATCTCAACTCCCCCTGCCCTGATGTTCACCTGGGATTCTGGGAAATAACATGTTCATCTTGTAGGTTCACCCCCACATTCTCTGTTTAGTGATCTATTGCACACACACAATGTAGCTGATCATGCCCTAAATCCAAGCACTGTCATTTCCAAAAGCCCTCAGATCTTGCCTGGCTGATAGTAAATTTGGAGAGGGAAAAAGTGGATGACATCCAGCAGAGGTGGATTGAGGACAGGACCTTGCTCAGTGTTGGCATCACTGTGATCATTCCCTCCACTGCAGAGCAAATCCAGATCAACAGACACTGTGAAATGTAACTTTTTAAGCCTATAAAGCAGCAAAATGCTCCCAAGCTTAAGGGGTTCAGAGCATTTTAACTCCAATATGGCACAAACCCCAACCCTGCACAGAGCAATTGCATTCCCTGTTCCAGTGTTAGAGCTCTACCCAATTTGTGTTGGTCAGGTTGGGGAAACAATTGGGATATCAGAGGAGATTATGGGGTTGACCATCCTGGCAGCAGGAACATCCATCCCTGACCTCATCACCAGTGTCATCGTGGCCCGGAAAGGCCTGGGGGACATGGCTGTGTCCAGCTCTGTGGGCAGCAACATCTTTGACATCACTGTTGGGTGAGTACCAGTCCAGTGCTAAAACATGCATTTCTTCTGAAATGCAAAGCTGGTTTTATTCCAGACATTATCTATTAATTTCATTTTAGCTGTTTTTAAATGAAGGGCAGCTGGGCAACCAGTTCCTTAAAAAAAAACAAACAAAAAAACCCCAACAAAACCAAATCAAACAACACCCAAACCCATCCAGGAAAGACAAAGTGTTATAGCTCAGCCCACAATCTTCACCTAATTCTGAACCAACAGAAAATCACCATTTTTTCAAGACAAAAAATTCAAGAAATCTTTGGCAAACATCGAAGATTTACAGGCAGGAACAAGATCTGGTCACTCAGAGACATCCAGCTCTTGTGCAAGCAAGGGCAGGATCAGTGCCTGTATCTTCCATCATAAAGCACCAGGACATTTCTTTATTACAGCCCAAGACATTTAATTTATAGGTCCTCTCAGCCTCCTGGACTGCACTGTGATAGTGGAAGCATTATCTAAATGCAATTTTGATACAAACAACATCTAGTTTAGATTTATGTTGAGCTACATTGAAGGCAATCACGCTTTTTTTCCCACCTCCTGTAAAACTTTGGAAAAATTGCTTAGTTATGATGCAGAAAATGAACTGCCTTAAAACATTTATTTCAATTACTTTTCTCCTTTACTTGCAGCTTGCCAGTTCCCTGGTTCCTTTTTTCTGTCTTCAACGGCCTCAGCCCCGTGGCAGTGAGCAGCAATGGTTTGTTTTGTGCAATTGTTCTCCTTTTCCTCATGCTCCTGTTTGTGATTATCTCCATCGCTGTCTGTAAATGGAAAATGAACAAAATACTGGGGCTCACCATGTTTGCTCTTTACTTTGTGTTTCTGATCATCAGTGTGATGTTAGAGGACAAGATAATATCCTGCCCAGTATCTGTATGATGTGTGGACACTTCAAGACGTGTGTGTGAGGACACAGCAACATCAGAAGGGGTTTAAGGTAGCAAACGTTCCACTGAAAAAAAAAAGAACCAGAATTGTAACAAACTTACTGGGAATAAAATATCTTTAACATACTAAAAAATAAATAAATCTCAAGTGGTATGGCAGCCTCTGCTGTTTTTCTTTAGGGTCAGAACAGATACAATACCAAATAAAACACTTAAGCCCTTGTGGCCAAGGCTGGTGTGATGTGGGTGCAGCGAGGTTTCAGTACAGCTGATCCCCTCGGGTTAATGGAGTTCATTTCCAGCACAGAACGTTTACCAATGACAGAAATTTTTCAGGAACACACTCTAAATTACTCAGTGGACTGCTCAAACTGCCTGAAACCAATGAACTTTGCTTCAGTGGGAAGAGAAGCAGCCCCATCTGGCTGGGTCCCTCCACGTGTGGCCTCACACGCTGCATCTCAGCAGGGAATTCTCTCCAGCTGCACTAAACTCCTCCCAAATCTGCACCTGATCTTGCCATACAGGCCCTAAAATTTATGTTACATGCACAAATGTGACATCCCCAGGATTTACCTCGTACCACTCCAATGTAAATGGATCTGGGGTTACAAGAGCACTGTTACCACCGATCAAAACTAAAGCCAGGGATCAAAAACTGCAACAAGACGTTGAACTGCTGGGGTTTGTTTTCATCCTGACACTAATCCCTGCTATTTACAGACTATTGCATCCAGCACTAATTCCTGTTGTTTGCACTGTTTTCTACACAGACGTGATGAAAAAATGCCACTGACCTCAACACACCTGGGAGGGTTATTGTTATCACCTCACAGGAGCAAACAATGCAGTTTAGAGTTGCAGACATTTCTAATCCAGCCAATAAAGTGTTAATGAAAATAACCAGAAAGATTTTAAGCTTTTTATTGACTCACTGTAAAACTTTTTTTTTTTTTGATGAGACAGAAAAAAAAATCCTTAACATTGTGAACACTGACTTTGCATATTTTAAAGGAACTACAAACCAAAGCAAACATCCAACATACTGGTTTTTGGTAAATAAAATTTAAACATTACATATTTACAAATCTACAACCATTCATTTAAAAAGTGCTGCTTGCAGACTAACAAAGTACCATTTTTAAATCCCAGTGAGATAATATCCAGAAATACCCCTCTCTGTTATTACTGTTTGCATCTCCCATTTCTTACACAAAGATTTTTGCACGCAGGAATTTTCTCTTTCTTGGGGTACAAATCATTTCAATTTGCCAGTGGAAGTCAAATTCATCAGGCTGTAACTGTACCAACAGCAAACCCTCTCAAATGGGACACAGCAGTGTCAGAGAAACAGCACAATTTCTATTCACATTTCAGTATTTCATCTCCAATAATTATTCCAGTGGAACCATAAGTAAAGCAAAATATATATTGCACTGCAAATGTAAAACCTTTGTTTAAGGTTTTGGACATAAGCATTATTTAGTACACAAAAGGAGAAAATTCAGTTCATACAAAATTTTAAATTGAAAATATGTCTCAAATATTTTATTTATCCATCTTTGCAGTATTGGAAAATATAGTCAAATTGCTTTTCTAATAAAGGACAGTGAGATTTGAAAACTGTTTCAACACTGAATTGCATGATGCTTACAAATTACCCACCTCAGGACCTACGTCTGGAACGTTATGAGTCGAATGAGGAAAATTTCCCATTTATAGTATACTGTTATTCCAACTCTATTTTTATGTATTTCTACAGTGGACTGACTTGCAACAGACCTGATAAAACAATTCCTTAAGTATAATGATGTCACTTGATGAGCTACTACGCGACCTGGTGAGCCAAAAGCATGGCCCAGTGAGCATCAGCGATGCCTCGGGATGCGGGAATATCGAAGGACTGCTGGGAGGCCGCACGGCCAAACCTGTTCCTGGGGCAGCACCTACTGCCTGCCAACACTGCAGGGCTGTGCACGCTGCAGTGAAGTGGCAAAAGCAGCTGGGAGTACTTGCCAGGACGCTGGGGCTGGGGGGGGTCAGCTGCACCCACACACGGTGCCGCGTGCCAGGCACGGACCGGGCTCGGCGCTTCCGCCACGGCGGGGGAAGCTCGGTCATAGCTCGGCCCTCTGAGCACCACGGCAGCTCTGGAAAAAGCACCTGCTCTCTCTCTCCTTCATGGCCTGAAGGTCCTATAATACAGTGGCTGCCCCGAGGGTCAGTGGCGTGGGAAGCAGAGCTGCAGGGAGCTGGGAACACGACCTCACACACCGGGATGAGCTTCAATAAACAGCGACTACTGCAGGGGGGTTCTCCATGGATGGGCAGCATTCCCACTGTACAGAGCAGAGCATCCATGCACACTGAGGGCTACTCATGGGCAATATGGGCAGGAAGAGCCTGTTATCTCCCAACAGTTCAGCAGAACAAGGGGGGGTGTTTACCACGTACCTGGGGGGGGGAAAGGAGCTCCGTTTGACGCTCGAGGGACACCGCACACATGTGGCAGCACAAAGAGCATCACAAATGCTTCAAATAAATTAAACGTGAACAACGGTCTAAGGGCAGCACTGCCAGCTCCACTCCTCAGGGCAGGGGATACTTTCAAAAAGGTCAGCTACGTAATTAGCAGCACGTTAAGAGAAGAGGCATTACCCGGTGGAAGTTGTTTCCTGCATCTTGCAATTACCAACAGCACCTTCCTGCAGCTCGGCGTGTTTTAAACCCTTTCTCCTTAGGGCAGCATCTTCTTACGACTTTACAGAGGTCTGGGAGGAGGTTACAGAGCTTCATAGCAGCATTAACTTCTCATGTAAGCCTCTAAGGCTCGCTCTATTTCCTTTAATAAAGTAAATGTGAGCTTTAAAGTTTAGCACTTTCTGCCTAACTAAATATTGCTGGTTTATTACACTTGCAAACTAAAGATGTTGTTAAGAACACCTGCTGGTGGGCAGACAGCCACAGGAAATCTAATGTAACAGCTGAATATTTAGAAATATTCTAACAGCAACAACTAAAAGAAATTAGAATTGGAAAATGCATTAAGATTACTTAAAATAAAGCTATTTGTTAAAGCATGATTTAATTTGTTTAGGGTGTTTTATACAGTTCAATGTCTGTTTTCCCACCTCCACACAAGACTTCTGATATTTTCCCTGTAGCCTACCTTCTGGTGAGGAGTTGCTATGTGACTGAGAGCACAGAACATTTCTTTAAATGTCTAAAACATGAGGCAAAAGCCATGACTCCACCACAAGGACTGACACAGCGCTTTTCTTCAGAGGGGAAAAAAAACATCGCTTTGCCTGTGAAACAGAGACCAAACATTCCGAGTACATTTAACTATGCACAATGTGGCCCAGGAAGTTCCATTCCCTGTACATTCCCTGCAGCAGCTTTGCTGTCTGCACATCAGTGAAGAGCTCTGGGTTAGCACTGTGGATGTGTCACGGTCGGTGTGTTCAACACGACCACCCAGGCTCCCAACGCTGCGGTTTGGGAGGAACTCGCTGCATCTGCTTGGTGTTCCAGCTGGGATGAGGTCACACCAAAACAAATGCCAACAGCTGAGATGGGCTGATTCCATCACAACCTGTAGGACTCTTCAACAGGCTTTCCCTTTCCTGGGGAGTGGGGAGGGAAGGGAACACGAGAGGAAGAGGAGGTTTCTACAGAAGTGTTGGACAGAGACATCAGTGTGTTCATTAGCAGAGTTATACAGAGTTTTACCATACCTTCCTGCTGATTGCTGTGGTAACACATTTTCCAAGTGTGCATGAGAGAAATCCTGGATCTCAAGTACTGTCGAGGTGAAGGTTAACGTTTTCTATTCTGCTTTAAAACCAATCACTCTTCAAAAAGTAACTGGACAAGTTACTATAAATAGCAGTGTACTGCAAAAAAAATAAGCACTGTATTGCTTACGCAGCAAGTCCATTTAAAATTCACTCCAGTAATTTAAAAAAATTAAAAAAATATCAACTTACTATAAACAATTTAAAATATGTATAATACAACTTTGTATGCTCTTCATAACATCATGAATATTCTATGTAAACAATAGATTCTGAAGAATTTCCTTCGCTCACATTGGTTTCAGTGCATTGGTTCTGTCCACCTCTTACTCATTTTTTTTTTTCTGTTTTGAGGGAGCTGCAATCTGCTGTCCCAACTCAAAGAACTGATTTGTGTTTAGAACCTTCCTTTCTACACATTGACCTGCAGAAAGGACAAGGGACAGGGCAATAACAGGTGGCCCTTTTTCCTCTCTGTCCATCTCCACCAGCGCAGGCAGGCCCAGTTTCCCGAGGCCTCCGGCGCGTTCTCCGACACTGAAGCCCGAGATGTTCCTTGTGACTGAAGTGGTTATTTTACACAGGTACACAGGGCAGAGAGGTCACCTCTTTAGCCAGGAATATCTAAAGGTAGGGCTCTCCAAAGATCTTCCTGCATTCCATCACTCCGGTGCTGGGGGGTCTGTCGCAGTTGTGGGTGTTCTTCACTTGGCTGGCGGTGAGTCGGTCGTAGGCCATTTTGTACTCTCTGTCAAAAGCATCTGCAAGGAGAGGAAAAAACAACTCCTAGTGCTCAAAAACATCACCCAAATGCCATGACAGTGCATTTATCAGCACACACACACACACAAAAAAAGTCCTTTTTATTTGGCACTTACCACAGAGTGGCACATGTCTAATCTCCAGGTTTGTTTTTTTTTTTTTTGGAAGCTGAACAACTACACTCATCATCTGTGCTCATTTAATAATTGACAAAACTCACCTATATCAATGTTATCTCTTCCCAGGGCAACAAGTGAAAGAAACAGTATTTCTCTGTAAAGGCTCCTGAAATGGTAAAAAACCAAAAGTTGCTTTATAGACTGCAACAATATAAGGCAAACCAATCTACATTAAAAATAAATTGAAGCATTTCAAAACAAGTTATTTTTTAGAAGAGGCATTTTGAACGTAATTCCTGGTTGCCACCTCCAAGATGTTGTCATTTCTGACCTCTGGGGAATTCCCTGGATTCCCCACATATGGAAATCACTCATGGGAGGTCTTTCAGGCATTCACTGATGTGTTGAAGTTGTACCAAGTGCAGAGAGAAACAAGCACTTGAGGCACTCAACCAAACTCCAAAAGGTGAGGAATTTGCTCTTCTGCATTTC